GGAGGGGAGTGGCTGGGTCCATCGCAGGGTCATGGCACAAACTCAGCCACTGCCCACGGCTGCCCCTCCGCTCCCTCCCCACCTCCACGGGCCCCACGGCTCTGGTTACAGCCACAGCCTCACGCGGGTGCCACAGGGCCTGACCCCTGCCCGCCCCAGGCGCCCACCCGCACGGGTGTCGGCCTCCCACCCGCCTGCGCCACCAAGGGACCAGCCTGAGCCACGAGGAAACCCGGCCTGGCACAGCCGCTTTCGATGGGGGGGCCGGGGGAGGCAATGCCCCAATGGCCCCCAGCAACGGGCCGAGCTCCTAGGGGGTCACAGACCCTGAGCCAGGGCTGCGCTGCCCCTCGTGCGCTGCCCTGGGGCCTGTGGCCCCCGCTCCACATAGAGGAGAACCCGGCCCAGGCCAGGCGGCACCCGGGGAACCAGAACCTGGCCATGAGCCAACGCCCCGGCCACCCCAGGGGCCCCTTTCCTGGGTGCTCACCCTGTATCCCCCACCCCGGTGCAGGCACAGCTCCCCCCGCCCTGCTACCCCCTGCCCCACTGCTCAGCTCCCCTCCCTGCTACCCCCCATCCCCACTGCACAGCTCCCCCGCCCTGCTACCCCCCACTGCACAGATCTCCCGCCCTGCTACCCCCCCTGCACAGCTCCCCCTCCCTGCTACCCCCCCACTGCACAGCTCCCCCGCCCTGCCAGCCCCCCACTGCACAGCTCCCCCGCCCTGCTACCCCCCATCCCACTGCACAGCTCCCCCTCCCTGCTACCCCCCATCCCCACTGCACAGCTCCCCCGCCCTGCCAGCCCTCCACTGCACAGCTCCCCCGCCCTGCCAGCCCCCCACTGCACAGATCTCCCGCCCTGCTACCCCCCCTGCACAGCTCCCCCTCCCTGCTACCCCCCCACTGCACAGCTCCCCCGCCCTGCCAGCCCCCCACTGCACAGCTCCCCCGCCCTGCTACCCCCCATCCCACTGCACAGCTCCCCCTCCCTGCTACCCCCCCATCCCCACTGCACAGCTCCCCCGCCCTGCCAGCCCTCCACTGCACAGCTCCCCCGCCCTGCCAGCCCTCCACTGCACAGCTCCCCCGCCCTGCCAGCCCTCCACTGCACAGATCTCCCGCCCTGCTACCCCCCCACTGCACAGCTCCCCCCTCCCTGCTACCCCCCCACTGCACAGCTCCCCCGCCCTGCTACCCCCCTGCCCCACTGCACAGCTCCCCCTGCCCTGCTACCCCCCCACTGCACAGCTCCCCCGCCCTGCTACCCCCCATCCCCACTGCACAGCTCCCCCGCCCTGCCAGCCCCCCACTGCACAGATCTCCCGCCCTGCTACCCCCCATCCCACAGCACAGCTCCCCCCGCCCCTGCTACCCCCCCCACTGCACAGCTCCCCCGCCCTGCCAGCCCTCCACTGCACAGATCTCCCGCCCTGCTACCCCCCATCCCACTGCACAGCTCCCCCCGCCCTGCTACCCCCCCACTGTACAGCTCCCCCTGCCCTCCTACCCCCCCGCCCCACTGCACAGCTCCCCCCCGCCCTGCTACCCCCCAGGCCCTGCCAAGCCCCAGCACCCTGCGCTCACCTCTCGTCTCCTCTCCCTTCTCTTCCAGGGCTCCCTGGCGAGCAAGGTGAGGCTGGCTGTGGGGAGGGACGGGGGGGTGGGCCAGGGGGTGGGGAGAGCCGGGCGTGTGGTTGTATGGGGGCCCTGGGGGTGGGGAAAGCTGGGGGTGGGATAGGGGCCCCTGGGTGTGGGGGACAGGGAGAGCTGGGGTCTGACGGGCTGGGGGCCCCTGGGCATGGCATGGAGGTGGGGGTGGGCTGGGGGCCCCGGGCACGGGGGGCAGGGAGAGCTGGGGGGGTGACTGGCTGGGGGCCCTGGGCATCGGGTGATGGGCGAGGAGCTGTGGGGGACACAGACCTGCCTGGGGGCAGGGAGGAGGCTGGGAACGGGGGGTCCTAATGGCACCGTGCCGACCCCGTCTCTCTGTGCCAGGCCCGGTGGGCGAGGCGGCCGTGGTGCCCAGAGTCGCCTTCTCGGCCGCGCTGACGTCCCGGCACGTGGAGCCCGGTACCATCCCCTTCGACAGGCTGCTGGTGAACGACGGGGACGCCTACGACCCCTACACCGGTGAGCAGCGCCCCACGGCCAGCCCCATGGCGGGAGCTCCCCATAGCCAGCCCCCCACAGTGCCTCGTACCCAGCTGGTGTGGGTGAGCTAGAGAGCAGGGGGCTGCCGCGCTGGTTTGGGGTGTCCTGCTCATCGGCAGTGACTGTCCACGTCAGCCCCAGGCCAGGGGGTCTCCCCTCGGGCTCAGGAGGGGGGAGCAGCAAGGGGCTGGGCGGGGGCGGAATTTAGTGTTACTGGCAGAGCTGGGGCTGGGGGGGGGGCTTCAGGGGCCCTGGCTGAGCTTGGGGGGGACCCCAGGGCTGGGGTAGCCGGGGGCTGTGGGGCGGGATTGGGGGCACTGGCAGGGCTGGGGGAGGGGAGCTCAGGGATGGGGGGGAGGGGGGGGGGGGGGGGGGGGGGGGGGCAGGGGGGGGGGGGGGGGGGGAGCTCAGGGATGGGGTAGCAGGGGGCTGTGGGGCGGGATTGGGGGCACTGGCAGGGCTGGGGGAGGGGAGCTCAGGGATGGGGTAGCAGGGGCTGTGGGGCAGGATTGGGGGCACTGGCAGGGCTGGGGGAGGGGAGCTCAGGGATGGAGTAGCAGGGGGCTGTGGGGTGGGATTGGGGGCACCGGCAGAGCTGTGTGTGGGGAGCCCAGGGATGAGGTAGCAGGGGCCGTGGGGCGGGATTGAGGGCACTGGCAGGGCTGTGTGTGGGGAGCCCAGGGCTGGGCTGGCCGGGGGCTGTGGGGCGGGATTGGGGGCACCGGCAGAGCTGGGGGAGAGGAGCCCAGGGCTGGGGCAGAAGGGGGCTGTGGGGAGGGATTGGGGGCACTGGCAGGGCTGGGGGAGGGGAGCCCAGGGCTGGGGCAGCAGGGGGCTGTGGGGCGGGATTGGGGGCACCGGCAGAGCTGTGTGTGGGGAGCCCGGGGCAGGGCTGGCAGGGGCTCATCGCGTGCTCAGCCCCCCCCCCCAGGCCCCAGGGGCAGTGCCCTGGGGTGATGAGACCCCCTGGGGGGACGCTCCTGCCCCGCTGACGGGCTGCCCCCTCCCAGGTGTCTTCACTGTGCCCGTGTCCGGGCGGTACTTCATCAGCGCCGTGCTGACGGGGCACCGGAGCGAGAAGGTCGAGGCCGTGCTGTCGCGCTCCAACCAGGGCATCGCCCGCAGCGACTCGGGCGGCTACCAGCCCGAGGGCCTGGAGAACAAGCCGGTGGCCGAGAACCAGCCCAGCCCGGGCTCCCTGGGTGTCTTCAACCTGCTGCTGCAGCTGGAGGCCGGCGAGACGCTCTGCGTGGACCTGGTGACGGGCCAGCTGGCCCACTCCTCCGACGAGCCGCTCACCGTCTTCAGCGGGGTGCTGCTGTACCCCAGCCCAGGGGACGAGGCCGGCTAGTCCCTACCCCACTGTGACGCTGCCCCTGGGCACGGGGCAGGGGCCCAGCTGGGCTCCGGGCCCGTTGCATCCTGGGCCGGCCCCGCAGCACCCTCGCCCTCGGGGCTGCAAAGGCTGTGCCCCATCAGAGCCGGGGGCAGGGGGACCCCCCACCGCAGCTGGCCTGGCCTGGCCTCTCTGGGGAGCTGCCGGAGACGTGGCCCCCTGGGCATGGGGAGAGGGGAGCCCAGGCCGGCAGCCCACCCCCATGTGCTGCAGCAGGGGCTCAGGAGGCAGCGAGTGCCCCGTGGAGCCCAGCCCAGCGCCCCCCCCGCCCCCGAGCAGGGCAGCCCTGCCCTGAATGAGCTGGAGGGCTCCTGGCTCCCAGGCCCTGCCCAGAGCGGCCCCGGGGTCCCTCGCTGCTCCCAGCTACCCCCAGCCCACCCGGCTGAGGGGCCCAGGGGGCTCATGGCCAGGGCTCCTCAGGGGCCAGCCACGGACGTGTCTCCTGCAGGCCGGCCAGCTGCTGCGGGGGGCTCCAGGGATGCTCCGGGCTGTAAATCCTGCAGGGATGCCCCAGGCCCGGGGTGGGGATCCCCCTCCCCTGAAGCCAGGCCCCTCCCCGACCCACATCGACCGGCACCTCCCTGTTATTTATCATCCTGTCGCGCCCATTCCTGCCCTGCTGCCCGCCCTGAGGGGCACCTGCCTGCCATGCCCCTGCTGCACAGCTCCTGCTCACCACCTCAGCCCCTCACCGCCCCAGGCAGAGACCCCAGCCACCCACACGCCAGGGCCGGAGGGCGCCCGTGGGGCACGCAGGACTGGGGGGCCCCGGCCCCGCACAGACGACACCAGAGAAGAGCCGGCGGGCAGCCCTGCCGCTGAGGGAGCCATGTGGGGGAGGGGCCCGTGGCCAGCTCTGCGGGCGGTGGTGCCCTACCCTGGCACGGGCCAGCTCTGCTCGGGCATCTATTTCATGTATTAATAAAGAAGAGTCACTGTGTTTTGTACCCTGGGCCCCGCCTCGCTTCTCAGCCTGGCTGCCCCCCCAGCCACCCTGGTGCCGTGGGCCGCTCCTCACCAGGGCGAGACGCGTTGCCCGGGGGTGCCCGACTCAGCCCAGACGCAGCCCCCGGGAGAGAACTGCAAGGCCAGCACCCAGCCTGCCCTGAGCGTGGCGCTGCTCTGCGGCGGGGGCTCCAGGCATGGGGTGAACCCCCCCTGCACCTTGCAGCCCCCCCAGGGCTGCCCCTCAGTCCTGCCGGGGCAGAGCCAGCTTGGGTCCCTGGGGGAGGCGCCGCTGGGGAGTGGGGCCGGCGCTGCCGGGCAGAGCCAGCAGGAGAAGCCACCGTTGCCAGAGCCAGGCACACGTGAGCACCAGCCAGAGCCGCGGGGCCCCGGGAGCAGCTCACGCCGGAATTGCTGCTCCAGCCTTGTTCCCCTGCCCGGGCACCGCAGGGGCCCCCTCCCTGCCCACGGGCAGCGCGGCAGGGACCGGGACCAGGCTGCATGGAGTCACACAGGGGACTTTATTGCCCACAGCCCAGGGGGCCAGGCCCGGGGCAGCTCCCACCCTCATGCAGCCGCTTTCAGGAACAGGCCTGTGCAGGCCCAGGGCCCTCTGCTCCCCACCAGCGGGGTCTGCCAGGCTGGGGCCCCGTGCCCAGGAGGGGCCAGCCCAGGGCTAACAGCAGACCAGGGCCCCGTCCTCCCGCGGGCAGGGGGCACGTGCCCAGCTCAGCAACAGGGCAGCAGCCACTAGCAGAGCGTCCCCCCATCCCCCAGTCCTGGTGGTGCTGCTGGCCTGGGCCCCACGGCTGCTCAGAAATCCTCGTCCCAGCCCGAGAACTCCTCCTCGGCCGGCGTCCAGTCTACCGAGAAGCGCTTGAAGTTGGCGTAGGGCGGGCCCTGTGGAGAGAGGGTGTGGGGCTCAGTCTCCTCCAGCTCCGGGTCACAGCTGCAGCTGCCTCCTGCCCCACACGGGGCTTGGCCTGGGTCCTCCCTCCCTGGCTCGCCACCTGCCCCATGACACCCACCCGGCTCTGGCCCCAGCATGAGGCTCCCGCAGCCAGGGGCTGCCCCACAGCAGGGGGCTGCTCGGTCTGGACTGTGCCACCTTGGAGGGCCCTCCCTGCCCCTGTGTTGCAGGGTCTCTGGCTGGCATGCTTGGGTGAGGGGGATGCTATGCCAGGTTGCCTCCATTCTGTGGGCAGAGTGATGCAGCTCATGGGGGGGGCACAGTGCAGCATGGCATGCTGGGAGCTGTGGGGCCCTATGGAGGCAGAGCATGGCAGCCCCCTCCCCCCCCAGTCCCGCGCCAAGGACTCAGCCCATCACCCCTGAACACTGGACCACCAAGCCCAGGCCTGCCCCAGCCTCACCCGGGGTCCACCCGCAGCCCCCACACCTGCTTCATCAGCGCCAGGGTGGGAGCATCGATCTGCCGCAGAGCCAGACGCTTCCACTTCACCGAGCCAAACCACCTGGGAGCAAGGACAGCGTCAGTGGGGCAGAAGCGCCGGCCACAGGGCATCCCAGCTCGTCCAGCCCCACCTCTCCCAGCCAGAGGAGGGGAAGCCCCAGCAGGGGCGCTGTTGGGGGTGGGGCCGGAGGAGGGAAGCCCCAGCAGGGGCGCTGTTGGGGGCGGGGCTGGACGAGGGAAGCCCCAGCAGGGGGCGCTGTTGGGGGCGGGGCCAGAGGAGGGAAGCCCCAGCAGGGGGCGCTGCTGGGGGGCGGGGCCGGACGAGGGAAGCCCCAGCAGGGGGCGCTGCTGGGAGCTGGGCCCGATGAGGGGAAGCCCCAGCAGGGGGCGCTGCTGGGGGCGGGGCCGGACAAGGGAAGCCCCAGCAGGGAGCGCTGTTGGGGGCGGGGCCGGACGAGGAAGCCCCAGCAGGGGGCGCTGCTGGGGCGGGGCCGGAGGGGGGAGCCCCAGCAGGCGGCGCTGCTGGGAGCAGGGCCGGAGGGGGAGCCCCAGCAGGGGGCGCTGTTGGGGGCGGGGCCGGAGGGGGGAAGCCCCAGCAGGGGGCGCTGCTGGGGGCGGGGCCGGACGAGGGAAGCCCCCAGCAGGGGGGCGCTGCTGGGAGCTGGGCCCGATGAGGGAAGCCCCAGCAGGGGGCGCTGCTGGGGGCGGGCCGGACAAGGGGAAGCCCCAGCAGGGAGCGCTGTTGGGGGCGGGGCCGGACGAGGGAAGCCCCAGCAGGGGGCGCTGCTGGGGGCGGGGCCGGAGGGGGGAGCCCCAGCAGGGGGCGCTGCTGGGGGCGGGGCCGGAGGGGGGAGCCCCAGCAGGGGGGCGCTGCTGGGGGCGGGGCCGGAGGAGGGAGCCCCAGCAGGGGGCGCTGTTGGGGGCGGGGCCGGAGGGGGGAGCCCTGGCTGTGTGGGCTCCCCTTCTCCCTTGGCTTCTCTCCTACCGGTGTTTCCTGATGCCGCGGATGCCGGTGCGGGTGTTGCCCAAGCGCTGCCCGGGCCGGTGCCTGCGGGGGTGCGGAGAACAGGCTCAGTGGGGGCCCTGACATTGCCCCTCCCCCTCCCCGCAGCCCCCCAGCTCTGCCCTTGCCAGGCAGCTTCACACAGCACCGGCCATGGCACAGCTCCGGCAGGGGAGCCCTTCGCCCGCAGCTCAGCAACGAGCTCACCGGGAGGGTAGGGAGTCTCCAGCCCAGTGCCCCCCTCACTCCCCTGGGTCAGGCCCTGGAGCCCTATAGCCGGCCTTGTGGGCTGGCCAGCACCCACCACGCCCACCCGGCAGCCGTGGGGCATGCGGCGGTGCCAGGGAGCTGCAGCCCGCGCCCGGCCCACCTACCGACACAGCTTGGAGACCAGGGAGCAGGCGGCCTCACTCATGTAGGCCGGGAACGAGAACACCCCGTCCAGGATCTTGCTGTAGATCTTCTGGGGATCGGAGCTGTGGAACGGGGGCCTGGCGAGAGACGGGGGGCATCACACACCCGGCCCCTCCCCGGGGACGCCCTGACACTCTCCCCTCCTCCAACCAGCAGGCCGCTCCCGGGACACCCCCAGGGACGCCCCAACACTCTCCCCTCCTCCACCCGACAGGCCACTCCCAGGGACCCCCCCCCAGGGACGCCCCGACACTCCCTCCTCCACCCGGCAGGCTGCTCCCGGGGACCCCCCCCCGGGGACGCCCTGACACTCTCCCCTCCTCCACCTGACAGGCCGCTCCCAGGACCCCCCCTTGTGACGCAGCAGGGAATGGGGAGGATTTGACCTGGGGATGTTGCAGGGGAGTTTCACTGGGGATGGGAGACTTCGCTTGAGGGACGATACCTGAGCCTGTTACCTGAGCCAGGAGGGGGTTGGGTCCAGGTGACACCTTCTGCCCAGGAAACTGAACAAAGGCTGGGAGAGGAGCTGGGGGGAGGCTGGGGGAGTCGGCTGGAGGGGTTTCCAGTTTGGGGAGTTGGCTGGGGAAGAGGAGAGAGCCCCAAGGCTGGGGTCTAATCTCCCTGCCCCCCACCCCCCAAAAGGGCCTAAGGGGTCCTGTTTATGCCTACAAGCTCTGGTCTGGACTGTATTCCCATCATCCCTAATAAACCTTCTGTTCTACTGGCTGGCTGAGAGTCGTGGTGAATCACAGGAAGTGGGGGTGCAGGGCCCTGACTTCGGAGTGAGTGCTTTGTACCCCTGGAGGTGGATGGGAGGAAGGTCAATGGATACTGGGATACGGGCGCGGAGGTGACGCTGGCCTGGCCCGAGGTGGTGGCCCCAGATCGGGTGGTGCCCAACACCTACCTGAGCCTGACAGGGGGTGGGCGGGACCCTATTTAAGGTGCCCGTGGCAAGGGTACACCTGAAATGGGGGGCCAAGGAGGACCCCAAGGATGTGGGGGTACACCACCATTTGCCCACTGAGGTTTTGATGGGGGGAGACCTAGAGGACTGGCCAAGCAAGCCCCAGACCGCCCTGGTTGTGACCCGTAGCCAGAGCCAGTGAGGGGCACTGCACCCTGACCTTGGGGAGGGTACCACACCGGAGGTGCAGGACCCTTCCCTGGTGGGGAGGGAGCGCCGAGGGGCACGGCTCAGAGAGGCGGAGGCCTCAGACCTGGCCACTGAGGGGGAACCGGGCCCCATCCCTTCCCCAGCCGCTGAGTTCCAGGCCGAGTTGAGGAAAGATCCCTCCTTGAGGAAGCTCAGGGACCTGGTCGACCTCGGTGTGGTAGGGACCATGAGGAGAGGCTGCCAGGAGAGGTTCCTGTGGGAGAAGGGGTTCCTGTACCGAGAATGGGCTCCCACAAGGGAAGTAGAGTCCTGTGGGATCAGGAGGCAGCTGGGGGTCCCCCAGAAGTATCGCCGCAGGCTCCTGTACCTGGCCCATGACATCCCCCTCGCAGGGCACCAGGGAATCCGGCGCACCCGGCAGAGGTTGCTACAGAACTTTTACTGGCCCGGGGTCTTTACCACGGTCCGGCAGTATTGCCGATCCTGTGACCCCTGTCAGAGGGTGGGGAAGGCCCGGGACAAGGGGAAAGCGGCTTTGAGACCTTTGCCCATCATAGAGGAGCCTTTCCAGAAGGTGGCCATGGACATCGTGGGGCCTCTCAGCAAGACGACCCGGTCGGGGAAGAAATACATTCTGGTGGTGGTAGATTTTGCCACCCGCTACCCCGAGGCAGTGCCCTTAGCTTCCATTGAAGCAGACACCGTGGCCGATGCGCTCCTGACCATTTTCAGCTGAGTGGGGTTCCCCAAGGAAGTCTTGACAGACCAAGGCTCCAACTTCATGTCGGCCCTGCTCCGGTGCTTGTGGGAGAAATGTGGGGTCCGGCACGACTGGGCCTCAGCGTATCACCCCCAGTCCAATGGGCTGGTGGAGAGGTTCAATGGGACGCTAAAGATGATGCTGAAAACCTTTATGAACCAGCACCCGCAGGATTGGGACAAGTACTTACCTCACCTGCTGTTCGCGTACAGGGAGGTGCCCCAGGAGTCTACCGGATTTTCGCCTTTCGAACTGTTATATGGCAGGAGGGTGAGGGGCCCCCTGGACCTGATGAGAGACGAGTGGGAGGGGAAGGCCACTCCCGATGGAGAGTCAGTGGTGGAGTATGTCCTGATCTTCCGAGAGAGACTGGCTGAACTCATGGGCCTGGCCAGGGAGAATCTGGCCAGAGCCCAGAGGAAGCAGAAGGTCTGGTATGACCGCACGAGCGAGGGCCCGTGCCTACGCCACCGGGGATCCGGTGATGGTTCTCATCCCCGTGAGAAAGAACAAACTACAGGCCGCCTGGGAGGGCCCTTTCAAGGTCGTCAAGCAGCTCAAGGAGGTAAACTATGTGGTGGAGCTGTCGAACCAGGCGCACCACCGCCGGGTGTACCATGTGAATATGATGAAGCCATATTATGCCAGGGGGAATGTGGTGTTGGCCGTGTGTGGACAGTGGAAGGAGCAGGGAGATGACCCTTTAGTAGACCTATTCCCTGGGACCAGAGCTGGTTCCCCCCCTGGAAACAATTCCCTCTCGGATCAGCTAACCCCTGCCCAGCAAGCTGAGGTCAGGGGGGTGCTGCGTCCGTACCGACAGCTGTTTTCCAACCAGCCTGGACGCACTAATCTGACTGTCCACCGGGTGCAGACAGGGTCGCACCCGCCGATAAGATGCTCCCCTTCCGAGTCACAGGGAAAACTGCTCAGGACCTGGAAAGAGAGGTCTGGGACATGCTGGCTTTGGGGGTGATCCAGCCATCTGCCAGCCCTTGGGCCTCGCCGGTGGTGCTGGTCCCCAAAAAGGACGGGTCGGTCCGGTTCTGTGTGGACTATCGGAAGCTCAATGCCATCACAGTATCTGATGCCTACCCCATGCCCAGGCCTGATGAGCTCCTAGACAAGCTGGGAGGAGCTCGGTACCTCACCACCATGGACCTTACAAAGGGCTACTGGCAAGTGCCGCTGGATGCAGATGCCCGGCTGAAATCGGCCTTTATCACCCCTCTGGGGCTCTATGAGTTCCTGACCCTGCCTTTCGGCCTCAAGGGAGCGCCGGCCACCTTCCAGCGCCTGGTGGACCAGCTCCTGAGGGGGGATGGAGAGTTTTGCCGTGGCGTATATTGATGACATCTGTGTCTTTAGCCAGACCGGGGAGGACCATGTGTCCCAGGTTAGACAAGTGCTGGACCAACTCCAGGGGGCTGGGCTGACTGTAAAAGCGGAGAAGTGCAAGGTGGGAATGGCCAAAGTATCTTACCTGGGCCATCGACTGGGGAGCGGCCGCCTAAAGCCAGAACCAGCCAAGGTGGAGGTGATCAGAGACCGGCCCGCTCCCCACACCAAAAAGCAGGTCCAAGCCTTTATTGGGATGGCAGGATACTATCCAAGGTTTGTGCCCCACTTTAGCGCCATAGCCACCCCCATCACTGAGCTAGGCAAGAAGGGGAAGCCAGACAAGGTGGTCTGGACCGAGCAGTGCCAGGAGGCTTTCCGGGGCGCTGAAGGAGGCTCTGATCAGTGGCCCAGTTCTGGCAAACCCAGACTTTGACAAGCCCTTTGTGGTGTTCACCGACGCCTCCGACATGGGACTGGGGGCGGTGTTAATGCAGGAGGATGAAAAGGGGGAGAGACACCCCATCGTGTACCTGAGCAAGAAGTTGCTATCCCGGGAGCAACACTACGCAGCCACTGAGAAGGAGTGCCTGGCCATGGTGTGGGCCCTCAAGAAACTAGAGCCCTATCTCTTCGGGCGACACTTCACCGTCTACACCCGACCACTCTCCCCTGACCTGGCTGCACCAGATGAAAGGAGCCAACGCCAAGCTCCTGAGATGGAGCCTGCTCCTGCAGGATTACGACATGGACGTGGTCCACATGAAGGGAAGGGCCAACCTGATAGCGGACGCGCTGTCCCGGAGAGGGGGCCCCGAACTTCCCCAGGTCACTGGTCAGAGTGACCCCCGCTCAGTTCAGTCTCGAAGTGGGGAGAGATGGGACGCAGCAGGGACTGAGTGGGGCGGATTGACCTGGGAATGTGGCAGGGGAGTTTACTGCCACTGTCTGACCGGTGATGAGATAGCAGGGGGTGACTTCACTGGCTGTCACCTGAGCCGGGAGGGGGGTTGGGTCCAGGTGACCCGGGAAACTGGACAAAGGCTGGGGGAGGAGCTGGGGGAAGGCTGGGGGAGTCGGCTGGAGGGGTTTTGTTTTTGGAGTAGGCTGGGGAAGAGGAGGGGAACCCCCAGAGCTGGGGACTAATCTCCCTGCCCCCCAGAAGGACCTGACGAAGGGGTCCTGTTTATGCCTATAAGCTCTGGTCCGGACTGTGTTCCTGTCATCTCTAATAAACCTTTTGTTCTACTGGTTGGCTGAGAGTCATGGTGAATCGTAGAAAGTGGGGTGCAGGGCCCCGACTCCCCATCACGCCATGACACCCCTACACTCTCTGCTCCCCCTCCCGGCAGGCCACTCCTGGGACCCCCCGGGATCCCCCTACACTCTCCCGCTCCCCCACCCAGCAGGCCATTCCCCCTCCCCCATGGGCTGGGCTGTTCCAGAGGAATACCCCCACCTCTGCCCACCCCTGATGGGCCACTCCTGGGGAAGTGACTCCTGCTACTCAGGTGGGGGCAGGTGGGTTAACCCCTGTGGGGCATCTGAGGCTCGGGGGACAGGGGGTGACCCCGGGGGCTGCAGGTCACCCAGGCACAGGTGGGGGGCAGGGGCTGACCCCCGGGGGCACCTCAGAGGTCCCAGGCAGGGGAAGGATGGCTCGCGGGGTCCCTCACCGGCCCACCAGCATCTCGAAGATGAGGATGCCCATCATCCAGAAGTCGACGGCGAAGTCGTGGCCCTCGTGCCGCAGGATCTCAGGCGCCAGGTACTCGGGGGTCCCACAGAACGAGTAGGTCTTCTCCCCACGCGCCAGCTCCTTGGCAAAGCCGAAATCCACCTGCCAATGGGCAGGCGTGAGCCAGCAGAGCCCCCGCCGGGCCAGCCGGGCCTAGAGACCTGGGCTGGGGGGTCGCCGCGCCGGCTGGCTGTGGCAAGGAGGCGTTAAGGGGCTGCTTGAAACAGACCCAGCTCAGCAAGGGGGCAGAAACAGGCCATGGCAGCTCACTGATTCGGGGGATTTCCCCCATGACAGTGCCCCCCACAAGGCTCTATGGAAATATGCTTAGGAATGTATATATGACATAACTAGAATATGTTTTATGCTACATATGCCATGTAACATATCTCTGTAAAGGTTATGAGCTACTGAATCTATTCCTCCTAGTTGTATGCATGTATCCATTTTGTATTCGAAGTTAGGAATATTGGCTGGGTACTGGCTTGACTTTCAAGTAGCCTTTGTAAAGCATTTGGTCAGCTTCTTGAGAAAGGAATGTGCAGATTAAGTGCCCAATCAAGAAGCATTTAACAAACAATGGACGTCGGAAGGCTCCAATCCACATAAGTCTTCCTGGAGACATTCAAGATACCTTGTGGGCAATGGATGCTCCCGGTAAGTTCTGAGTCCTGCATGGACATGACTTGCCCAAGTGACTCCAGAACTCCATCTTGGACCTAGACTTTGCATAGGAGAGAGGAGGGGGTCTCCACCCACAAAAGAAAGTTTATTTAAGCTCGTGGAAGACCCCTCCATTTTGTCTTCAGCTGGCTAAAGAGAGAGACTCTCTACCCCCAAGTATACCTGAAAGAGACTGGAATAAAGGACAGTAACTACAGGGGGTGTGAGTGATTGCTGGACCCAGACTAGAAGGAGGCTAGTCTGTAAAAGGAAGTTTACTGAGTGAGGATTTTATCTGTATTCAGTTTTCTTAGACATAGACTTGTGTGTTTTATTTTACTTTGCTTGATAATTCACTTTGTTTGTCTGTTACTACTTGGAACCACTTAAATCCTACTTTCTGTATTTAATAAAATCACTTTTTACTTATTAATTTACCCAGAGTATGTATTAATACCTGGGGGGGGCAAACAGCCGTGCATCTCTCTCTGTCAGTGTTACAGAGGGTGGACAATTTATGAGTTTACCCTGTATAAGCTTTATACAGGGTAAAACAGATTTATTTGGGATTTGGACCCCATTGGGAGTTGAGCATCTGAGTGTTAAACACAGGAACATTTCTTAAATTGCTTTCAGCTAAGTCTGCTGCTTTGGGGTGCGTGGCTCAGACCCTGGGTCTGTGCTGGAGCAGACGGGCGTGTCTGGCTCAGCCAGGCAGGGTGCTGGAGTCCCAGGCTGGCAGGGAAAGCAGGGGCAGAAGTAGTCTTGGAACATCAGTTGGCAGGCCCAAGGGGTTTCTGTGATCCAACCTGTCAACCCCCCGGGAGCTGGGTAGAGGCCCCCACTTGAGAGCAAGGCCTGGGAGGTGGGAGGAGGGGCTCAGGGGGCTCTGCAGGAAGTTGGGGGCTCTCACCAGGAGCTGACTGAGGAAGGGAGCCAGCCAGCCTGAGCATGAACCAAGGGGGTCACTGCAGCTGGGCTGGGCTGTAACCGTCAGTTCTCTGGGCCGCCCGAGGGGCTGCCTGGGCCGTGTGCCAGGTGACCAATAAACCCGCCTGGTTTCACAGCGCTGAGGGAGTGTCCCCGCAGACACTGGGCGAGGGGGCACTGATCCCTGAGGAGAGGACACGTCTCCCCCAGGGTCTGTCCCAGCTGGACTCACTGCCTGGAGCTCCAAGGGTGGGGCAGGGGGGCTGCAGCCGCAGAGCCCAGTCTAAGGAGGAGGTGAGGCCGTGTCGCTCACCCCAGGGGAAGAGTGGGACCTGTAGGGATGTGGCCCACTGAAGAGCCCCCCAGAGACTGTTCCCAGCTTAGGGTTGTAGCAAGGCCCTGTGGAGCCCTGACAGAAGGGCTTTCCCTTCCCTGAATCCTGCTCCTCTTAGGCCTCCATGGTCATGTGGCAGGGAGTTCCACAGGTTAGTGCCATGCACCAAGGGCACTTCCTTTGACCACAGCTCCATCTGGCACCTTTCCAATTCACCAGCCATCCCTGGTTCTGAGCTTGGGATGACCGGGGGGAATAGCATTAGCCCCCAATTGCCCCCCCATCACATCTCCTCATGTTCAACTGCAGTCCCGTTCCCCTCTCCTGCCTTGTCTCCCTCCTGCCCAGCCTAGACGCCCCGTCCTGCTCATTGCCCTGGCACCAGGTGCCCAGCCAGAGCCTGGAGAGGGCCCCATGGGGCTGGGCAATGCTTGGGGACTGTTCCTGTTGTTCCCGATGTAACATTAGGAGTGTAATATAATATCTCATTGAAAGGTGACACAGGGCCAGAAAGAGTTAATGAACTCCCAGACTGACCTGACCCAGGGGCCGGACTGTAAAGACTGGTTAGAAGGATCTGTAAATGAACAGAGCTGTGGAAATGCAGCCGGCATTGTGTGAGAGAGAAGGGGAGCTGTGTGCTCAGGTCTCCTGATGTCAGCAAACAAGTCTTGTCTATTACCATGGCTTTGATTCAAAGATCAAAAGAGGAATATTAACATTTAGGAAGACACTGGAGTGACATGGTATTACTGTCTATATGGCTCTTTGAAGGGTTGTGGTAACCGGTATCTGAACTGTTTAATGGATAAATGACCCTGGGCTAATTGCCAGGATGTTTAGGAGAAGGAAAGTGAAGCCGATTGTTTTCTCAGGCCAAAAGGCTGCAGGGAATGTATAAAACCCTGGGACACGATCCTTCTTCATCTCCGATCTGCTTTGGGTTTCAAGAAGGGGAAACCCTGAGCCATAAGGATTGAGTTCCCCAGTCACTGACTGGAGTCACCCTGAACATGGACATTGGACTGTAACCCGTGGACTATTTCTAAAAGGACTTTTGGCAACTACAGACTCACCATCTCTGCTCTGTATCTGAACCTCAAGAACTGAACTCAAGTCTGTATATTGATCTTTCCACTAACTCTCCCTCTTTTCATTTTTAATAGATTTTAGTTTAGTTACTAAGGATTGACTGTAAGCGTGTATTTGGGGTAAGATCTGAGTTATCATTTGACCTGGGTCTGGGGCTTGGTCCTTTGGGGTCAGGAGAATCTTTTCTTTTCTGTGATGAAATAAGATTTTCAGAATTTAGCATCCTATGTTTGACATGTGTGTCTGGATGGAGGCCTGCGGCTGGGCACTTTAAGGGCACTGCGTTGTTTGGACATCTGAGTACCCAGGGAGGTGCTGGAGAAGCTGGTTTGGGCTGGCTGGGTAACTCTAAGTAGTGGAATATCCACCAGCGTTTGGGGTTTGTCCGCCCTGTTCTGTTTGCAGTTCACCCTGACTGACTGACCTCAGCTGGCTCCCACGGGCAGCCCCGTTACACCCGGTCCGTGTGCGGCCTGGCGCCTGTTCGCTGTTCCGGCCACCGCACAGGGAGCCGGCGTTCCATGGCACTGGCATGGTGCCATCCAGCTCCCCCTCCTCCCCTTCAGGAGGGCACAGTGCAGGCCCAGGGAACAGGGAGGGCCTGACTGGCCCAAAAGCCCTACCTCTGCTTTGGCAGCGTCCAGCCCTCCCTGGCACCCACCCGGCTGGGAACGGGTCCTCCCTGAGCTCCGGGTCCTGCCCTTCGCCCCCCAGAGCCTCTCAGGAGGGGGCTGAGCCCCAGGCCTCAGCCCAGTGCCAGGATTAGCAGGGCCGACCCGGGCATCTCCCCCTGCTAGTGCCCCAGTGCTGCCCCCAAGTACCAGTTTGATGTAGCCCTGCTTGTCCAGCATCAGGTTCTCGGGCTTGAGGTCCCGGTAGATGATCCCGTTGCCGTGCAGGTAGTCGAGTCCCTCCACCACGCAGGCCGAGCAGAACACGGCCACCTCCTCCTCGAGGCAGCGCCTGGGGGGCAGGACAGCTCAGTGCCCACACGCCCACCCTGTGCCCTTGGCCGGCTCGGCCCCCACAGGCACAGTCCCCAGCCTGAGCCCTTCCCTAGCCCCCAGCCGCCCGCGCCAGCTGCCAGCCCACCACACAGCAACCCTGCCCGCACCGCCTGTCAGCACTGCCCTCTACCCTCCAGCCCCCTGCCACGGCCCCGCCTGCCCCCCATCAACACCGCCCCAGCCCCGCTTGCCCTCAGCCCCCCTGCCATGGCCCCGCCCCGCCCCTAGCAACCCCCGCCCCAGCCCCGCTCGCCCTCAGCCCCCTTGCCATGGTCCCGCCCACACCACCTGCCAGTCAGCCACACAGCAACCCTGCCCGCACCGCCTGTCAGCACTGCCCCCCCACGCTCCAGCAACCCAACCATGGCCCCAGCCGCCCCCAGCAACCCCGCCCCGGCCCTGCTCGCCCCCAGCAACCCCATGCCAGCACCACTCACCCCCAGCCCCCCTGCCACGCCCCGCTCGCCCCCAGCAACCCCATGCCAGCCCCACTCACCCCCAGCCCCCTGCCATGGCCCCGCCCACACCACCTGCCAGCCAGCCACACAGCAACCCTGCCCGCACCGCCTGTCAGCGCTGCCCCCCTACCCTCCAGCAAGCCTGCCATGGCCCCGCCCACCCTCAGCAACCCCGCCCCAGCACCGCCCGCCCCCAGCCCTGCCACGGCCCCGCCTGCCCCCAGCAACCCCACGCCAGCCCTGCCCGCCCCCAGCCATCCTGCCATGGCCCCGCCCGCCTTCAGCAACCCCATGCCAGCCCCACTCGCCCTCAGCCACTCTGCCATGGCCCCGCCCGTCCCCAGCCACTCTGCCATGGCCCCGCCCACACCACCTGCCAGCCCGCTCTCCGCCCACCCCGCACCCACCCATGTCTGCCACAGCCACACCCGCACTGCCACCAGCCGTGCCTGCTCCATCTGCCAGCCTGCCACACAGCCCCCTGGTCCCCCGCCAGCCCCCCACTCCGTACACCTCACGCAGCTTGGTCCACAGCTCGCCCCCCTGGCAGAACTCCAGCAGCATGTAGACGTACTGGCTATCCTTGAAGGTGCCAAAGAGCCTGGGGAGAGGGGTGAGAAGGGGTTAAACTGGAGCCTCCAACCCCCTCCCCACCACAGCATCCCTGCCAGTGCCTCCCCAGCAATCCTCCCAGTGCCCCCCACTCCCGGGGACAGCCCCCCGAGCAACCCCACCAGTGCCACCCACTCCTGGGGGCAGCCCCTGAGCAACCCCACCAGTGCCCCCAAGAGCAACCCCCCGAGTGCTCCCCACCCCCAGGGGCAGCCCCCACCCCTAGCAACCCACCAGTGCCCCTCCGCCCGGGGGCATCACGGCACTCGCTGCCCCCCGTGCTCTGCCCCCCAGCCCAGGGCCCCGGGCAGCGCCTACCCCACGATGAAGGGGCAGCGGCTCCGCCTCCAGCACCCGCTTCTCCATGTGCACGTGTCCCTGCTGCCGCCTCCGCACCACGTGGTCCTTGCGGATCCGCTTGAGGGCAAAGAGCTGCCCCCGCTCGCGCTCCTGGGGGCAAGCAGGGCGTGAGGGGGCCAGGCACTGGGGTCCCGCGCCTCCAGGCTGGGCAAGGCAGGCTGGTAGGGGTGAGGGCTCTGCCCCCTGCAGCTCTGCCCCCAGGACTGGCGCTGGCGGGAGGGGCTGCTTGGTCTCCACCAGCTCAACCCTGCCAAAGCCGCCGGTGCCCAAGACCACGGGGAGGCCATGGTGCTGCCCGTCCTCGTAGCGCACAGCCGCCAGGTCCTGGAGCCGCAGCGGGGCCAGGGCCGTCTCGGGGCCCGGGGCGCTGTGGGGAGCGACCCACGGTGAGAGGTCTGGACACATGGACGGCGCCTGCCCCGCCATGACCCCACCCCCACCTTGGCCCACCCACCCTAGGGGCCAGGGAGAGACCGGCCCGGGAAAAGGGCACTAGGGCATGATGAGAACCAGAACCGGCCCCCAGCCGCCCCGATGAGCCCGACGAGCCCAACGCACAACGTGCCAAGCACCGGACCCAGCCAGGCCACCAGCTCCTGCCTGCCCAGCAGCGGGAATGGCAGCTGGGGGGTCCCTGGGAGCTTGAGCGCCTGTCCCCTGGCTGGGACCCCAACCCGCCCCACACACTCAGCTGCGGCCCTGAGTCACAGACTCCTTCCCTCCCATCAAGGGGAAACGGCTCAAGGGAATCTAGGGCTCTTGGCTTTCTGCCCTGTGAAAAACGTCCCCCATTGTTCTCCAGGGGGCCTGGAGGCCACAGGCCCACCCTTCATAGCATCATAGAGTCACAGAAGATCAGGGCTGGAAGGGACCCCAGAAGGTCATCTAGTCCCACCCCCTGCTCAAAGCAGGACCAGCCCCAACTAAATCATCCCAGCCAGGGCTTTGTCAAGCCTGACCTTAAAAACCTCTAAGGAAGGAGATTCCACCACCTCCCTAGGGAACCCCTTCCAGTGCTTCACCACCCTCCTAGTGAAATAGTGTTTCCTAATATCCCACCTAGACCTCCCCTAACTGCAGCTTGAGACCATTACTCCCTATTCTGTCATCTGCTACCACTGAGAACAGTCTAGATCCATCCTCTTTGGAACCCCCTTCCAGGTAGTTGAAAGCAGCTATCAAATCCCCCCTCGCTCTTCTCTTCAGCAGACTAAACAATCCCAGTTCCCCTAGCCTCACCTCATAAGTCGTGCTCCAGTCCCCCTCAATCATTTTTGTTGCCCCCCACTGACTCTTTCCAAGTTTTCCACATCCTCTTGTAGTGTGGGCCCAAAACTGGACACAGTACTCCAGATGAGGCCTCACCAATGTCGAATAGAGGGGAACGATCACGTCCTCGACCTGCTGGCCATGCCCCCCTACTTATACAGCCCAAAATGCCATTGGCCGACTTGGCAACAAGGGCACACTGCTGACTCATATCCAGATTCTCGTCCAATGTAACCCCTAGGTCCTTCTCTGCAGAACTGCTGCCGAGCCATTCGGCCCTTAGTCTGTAGCGGTGCATGGGATTCTTCTGTCCTAAGTGCAGGACTCTGCACTTGTCCCCCTTGTTGAACCTCATCAGATTTCTTTGGCCCAATCCTCTGATTTGTCTAGGTCCCTCTGGACCCTATCCCTACCCGCCAGCGTATCTTGGGCACAATGGGGCCACCATTTTTTGTGGCCTGAGAAGTTGCCGGCAGGGTGGGAGGGGAGGAGAGGTGGGGGAGTGGGGAAGGGAGGACATGGGGGGGGCAGCAGGATGGGGATAGGGGCAAGGCAGGACAGCCATGGGGGGCTGGGGCAGGTAAGGGTCCCGCAAGCAGACATTGGGGGTGTCTAAGAACCAGGCAGGGTCCATAAGCCACTGGGTCTGACTTATACATGGAAGCTCTCGGGGCAAGATCCCAAAGCCAGCCAGCCCCCTTTCCAGTCCCTGGCCTCCGGAACCGTGCAGGACCCTCCACCCCAGCTAGTCTTTCCTCTAGCTCCAAACCCCTCCCTGCACAGCTGTCCTGGGGTGCAGGGCCTTCCCCAGTCCCCCATTGGCAGTACCCCAAACTGCCCCGCGGCAGCCACAGCTCTCACCCCAACCCCCCCATTACTTCCCCCCACCTGGGGGAGCCTCCTGGGGGTTCCGGCTGGCTGTGCTTCCCCCATTCCTGCATCCCAGGGGGCAGCTACTGCCCCAAACCTGCCCCAAGCGCTGCCAGGCCAGCCTGATCCCCCTTCCGCACCTGGCCACAGCTGAGCCAGTGCTGGGCCAGCCCCACCTTTCATGGGCAGGGCCCTGGGAAGCCCTGGGAAGGGCCCAGGTGCTGCTGCCAGGGGCAGCGGGTTCGTCAGAAGGCACCTGTACCTTGCACTGTGCTGGAACAGAAACACCTGAGTGCCTGGGGGGGGTGGGGGGATCAGGGCTGGGCAGAGGCGGGGATGGGGGCAGGGGAGCCTCCAGGGTGGGGGGGTCAGGGCAGGGGGATCAGGACTGGGAGAATTATCCAATCTGTACCAGTTCTGTATCTGAAGTTAGGAATAGTGACTATGTATCTCTTTCAGCTAGGCTGCTTCGGTGACGCCCACTGCTAACATCTCAGGTACACCCATGGAAAGGCTAGACAGGGCGGCTGGCCCATCAGCGAGGCCGATGGGCTGTGAAAGGCTCGGCCTTCCTGGGGACGCTCCACGCTGCCAGTGACTCACCGGGCGCTGTGATCCCACAGAGGCAGGTGGTCTTGCCACCGGACACTAAACATTACCTGGGACTTCTGGTAACTTTCCACGGGAAGGGAAGGGGGTCAAGTTTGGGAAACAAAGGATTCCCGCCTTATGTAAATGCTATTGAAGGGTGGGGAGGAAGGCAATGGGACTCCTTCCTCACATGGCCTGTCTGCCCAAGAAGACAGACGGGCGAAGGGGAGGCGGGGGAGTCCAGACTGAGACGGGTCCCGTCTGAAAGGAATATCACTGGAACTCTGAACCACAGAAACTTTTGCAACCTCGCCAACAATATCTAGGGGGAGAAATGTTATTTGTTCCCACTTTCTTTAGTGAAACTAGCTCCCTTTGTGTTTGTTTCTTTTGGTCAGTAATCTGCTTTGTTCTGTGTGTACCCCTTGTACCACTTAGCATCTGCCTTTAGGGCTTATAACATTGGCTTTTATAAAACCCAGTTTCTGTCATTTCTAACTGGGGGGAGGGCAGAAGTGTGCACACCCTCTCCACACTGAGGGAGGGCTGCATTTCGGTGAAACCTTTGTGTTTGTACTCAAAAAGGAGCGCACACCAGACCACTGGAGCACGTCCCTGAAGCTGAGTCTTCCCAGAGCTGACCTGCAGCTGGGGTGGCCCTGCCTGTGTGCTATAGGGGAGGCTTTCATAGCCGGGCTCAGCAGGACAGGTTAAGGGGCCGAGGCTGGCAGAACCGGTAGACTCAGGGATATCTCAGTACATCAGGGGGCTTCCTAAGGGGCCCAAACCCATCACAAAGAGGTTCAGAGAAGCTGACCTGTGAGGAACGGTTACAAAGCCTGGGCCTGTTTAGTCTTGGAGAGAAGGGACTGAGGGGGGACCTGGACAACAGTCTTCAGATCTGCCCAGGGCTGTTCTACAGAGGGTGGTGATCACTGTTCTCCACATCCCCGGCAGATAGGATGAGAAGCAATGGGCTAAATCTGCAGCAGGGAGATTGAGGATCGCGCCCAGGAAGAACCGTCCAACGGCTGGGGAGTGAAGCTCTGGGACCCGCCCCCCAAGGAGGCCGTGGGATCCCGGCACTGGAGAGTTAAGAACACATTGGACAAACCCTGTCAGAGCTGGTCCACGTTCACCCGGCCCTGCTCTCAGCATGGGGCACTGACGTGGTGCCCTCACAGGAGGTCCCTGCCAGCCCCACACCTTCTGACTCTCTGAGAGACAGTGCTAGGGAACTCCTGGAGGAGCGGGAAGGATCCCTCAAGGGCCAGTTGGGTCTGTGCGGGCCCCGGGGCCGGGACTCACTGGCCAGGCTCAGGAAGCTTATGGAGTCTCCAGCATAGCCACGTCTCTGGCAGGGAGAAGAGAACGAAACAATCAGTGGGTCAGTCCCCTGGGCTGCAGGACAAGGGCCACCATGTTCCTGCGTGGCACCCGCCCCTGGCCCCTGCCACCCTGCTCCTGGGCCTAGCACCCGCCCTGGCCCCCTGCCACCCTGCTCCTAGCGTGGCACCCGCCCCCTAGCCCCCTGCCACCCTGCTCCTGCATGGCACCCGCCCCTGGCCCCCTGCCACCCTGCTCCTGCGTGGCACCCCGCCCTGACCCCTGCCACCCTGCTCCTGCGTGGCACCCGCCCCCTGGCCCCCTGCCGCCCTGCTCCTGCATGGCACCCGCCCCTGGCCCCCTGCCACCCCTGCTCCTGTGTGGCACCCGCCCCCTGCCACCCTGCTCCTAAGTGGCACCCACCTCCTGGCCCCCTGCCACCCACCTCCCCATGGCACCCACCCCCCACGGTCCTGGCTGCTCCTTTGCCACATGGAGATCCCTGGCCCCATGGAGGGGCAGTGTTACACTCCACGGGCTCTGAGAGCTGCCTGGGCGTGGGGCAGAAGGGGCAGATCTCCTGGAAGTCTCTGCAGGGATGGAGGAGACAGGAGGTGTTGGCAGGACCGGTGGAAGGACCCAGCCCCCCGGAACAGCCTCTGCCCATGGGAGCCAAGGCATAGTGCAGCCCCCTGACCCAGACACAAGGGGAGGGAGGGGCAGAGATGAAGGACCTGGCCAAGCTCACATAGCAAATCAGTGGCAGCGCTGGGGAGAGAACCCCAGGAGTCCTGGCTCCCCAGCCCCACCCCCCTGCCACTCTAACCACTAGCCATCACTCCCCCCACACACACACACACAGCTGGGAATTGAACCCAAGAGTCCTGGCTCCCCAGCCCTCCCCCACTCATACCCGCCAGCCCCCACTCCCTCCCAGAGCCAGGGAGAACCCAGGAGTCCTGGGCTCCCAACCCCCCATGCTCAACCCCCACCTCTCTCCTCCCAGAGCTGGGAGAGAACCCAGGGAGTCCTGGCTCCCCTACTCTGGCTCCAGTTACTCTGGCTAGCAGGCCTGTGGAGGAAGGGGGGCCAAGCCATGTCCGTGGCGCCATCTCGGGCAGGGCTTGAAGTCAGTCCCCCTCTGCACCACAGTGCCCCCTAGCGTGGGGCCCCCACCCCTGGGGCTGACTCACTCTTGGTGATGGTGATGCAGGCGACCTTCCCGGGTGCGCCTGCAGGCTGGTCGTCCGGCGGATGTTGCTGCAGAGAGGAGAGAGGTTGTGAGGGGAGGCCGGCGGTGGCTGTGGGGGTGCGAGGTGGGGACAGGAGACTTGGCATCTCTACGGGGACAGGGAGTCGGGGACTGGGGGGACTGAGGGTCTGCACCCCAGGCATGGGCTGGGAGTGCCCGGTGGGGAGTGGGGAGCAGAAACACTGGGTGGCCTGCCTGTGCCAGGGTGTGGAAAGGGGTGGGAGAGCACCAGGCAGTGTGTACATATGGCGTGTGCACATCAGGCTGCGAGCGCCTCACATGGGCCCTGCGGTGTGCGTGTGCCGGGCTCCCGTGTGCGCGTGTGCGTGTGCGGGGCCCCTGGTGTGCGCGTGTGTGTGTGCCAGGCCCCTGGTGTATGCGTGTGTGTGTGTGCCGGGCCCCTGGTATATGCGCGTGGGGGCCGGGCCCCTGGTGTGCGTGTGGTGTGCCGGCCCCTGGTGTGCACATGTGTGTGTCCCGGCCCCTGGTGTGTGCGTGTGTGTCCCAGGCCCCTGGTGTGCACGTGTGTGTGTCCCGGGCCCCTGGTGTGCGCGTGTGTGTGCCAGGCCCCTGGTGTGCGTGTGTGTGCCGGCCCTGGTGTGCACGTGTGTGTGTCCCGGGCCCAGGTGCGCGTGTGTGCTGCCGGGCCACTGGTGTGCCTGTTGCACGTCTGGCTGTGAGCGCCTGGGTGGGCCCCTGGTGTGCGCATGTGTGGCCGGGCCCCTGGTGTGCGTGTGTAGCACGCCTGGCTGTGAGCGCCTGGGTGGGCCTCTGGTGCGAGTGTGTGTGCCGGGCCCCTGGTGTGCGCGGGTGTGTGTGCCAGGCCCCTGGTGTGCGGTGTGTTGCACGTCTGGCTGTGAGCGCCTGGGTGGGCCCCTGGTGCGCGTGTGTGTGCCGGCCCTGGCAGGTGTGTTGCACGTCTGGCTGTGAGCGCCTGGGTGGGCCCCTGGTGTGTACGTGTGTGTGTGCCGGGCCCCTGGTGTGCGTGTGTTGCACGTCTGGCTGTGAGCGCCTGGGTGGCCCCTGCGCTGTGCGCGTGTGTGTGCCGGGCCCCTGGTGTGCCTGTGTTGCACTTCCGGCTATGAGCGCCTGGGTGGCCCCTGGTGTGCGCGGTGTGTGTGTGCCGGGCTCCTGGTGTGCGTGTGCTGCACGTCTGGCTGTGAGCGCCTGGGTGGGCCCCTGGTGTGCGCGCGTGTGTGTGCCGGGCCCCTGGTGTGCGTGTGTTGCACGTCTGGCTGTGAGCGCCTGGGTGGGCCCCTGGTGTGCGCGTGTGTGTGCCGGGCCCCTGGTGTGCGTGTGTTGCACGTCCGGCTGTGAGCGCCTGGGTGGGCCCCTGGTGTGCGTGTGTTGCACGTCCGGCTGTAAGCGCCTGGGTGGGCCCCTGGTGTGCGCATGCCAGGGCCGGCTGGGCAGGGCCGAGGGGCTCCAGGGCGGCACCTACCGCAGCGCGATAGCCCCCCAGAGTGCTTCGCCGGCCCGCAGCACCCGGATCGGCTCCTCCCGCCCATTCACGTGCCTGCTGACCCGAACCTGCAGGGAGATGGGGGCTGGGGCATCACTCCTGGGGGGGGGCTGGACGGGCGGGGGCAGGGGGCCCATGGGCTGGCAGAGGAGCCGCACCTGTACCCCCCGACCTCCAGGCTCCCCAGAGTCACCTCCCAGCCCCCGAACTGCCCCCGCCCATCCCAGCCGTGTGGCCGCCGAGCCAGGGGGTGGGCTCTGGGACATTGGGGAGGGGAGCGGGCAGGGGGCCCGTGGGCTGGCAGAGGAACCGAGTTCGGGGGGGCTGGAGGGGCAGGGGAGGCGGCGGGGTGCAGTGCACATCAGGCTGCCCCCTGCTGGTGCCCCCAGAAGAAGGTGTGGCCGCGATCTGCCCAGGCTGGCGGGGTTGAGGGGCTGCTGGGAGACAAGGCCCTGGGCCCATTAGCCCGGCTGAATGGGGAATCGAACCCAGGCGTCCTGAGTGCCAGGGGGGGGTGCACCCTCCATGTTCTGCTTCCCAAGAACGTCTGGGGCGGGGTCAGAGGGAGGGGGCGTGAGCTGTTGCCCCAACAGGCCGGGGATGGGGAGGGGTAGTGCCCTGGGCAGGGCGGGGGGAGGGGTGGTG